ACAGCAACAAGAAACCACCCAGGTGGAGAGTCACCCCCTGGCAGGTCTTCCAGCACCATGAGTGAGGACATCACCCAAATCCAGGGGTCATCAGCCATACAACAGAAAGAAGGTCGCCAATTTCTCTAACAACAAGGTCTTTCCAAACAGATCAGCCCTGTCTGACACTACCTAGCTATATGATTCCGGGCAGCGGGCTTCACCTCTCTAAGAACCACTTCCCCATCTTCAAATGGATCAAATTAGAGTGCCCACCTCTTCTCTGTAAAAGTCTGTGAAGCACTTAACACATCATCACATGCCTCAAGGCCTCAAAAATATCAGCTGGCAGTCCTAATAGCAGCAGTGGTAATACAGGGGAAGAGCCTTCCCAGCCAGTCTAGAACTCAGTGTATCCAACCAACCCCCCGTGAGTTACCTTCCCACTGGAAACTCACCTGAAATGACAGCGTCCTGAATGGAAGAGGTCCACAGCCCAGCAACTGTTGGAGCGGTGTCATCTACCAACTGTAAGCAACATGGTCTACGTCCCAGCATTTAACATGCTGAGAAGCATATGGCTGATGGTAATAAATCTTTGTTGTGCTACAAAATTAGTTCAGTATTTGTAAGTACATCTCATCTTCGCTACTAGACTATAAGCTCTTTTTTTTTTTTGGTGGGACCCTCGCCGGCAGCCGGGGAACGAACCGGCGCTGCAGCCTCGCAGCTCAGCGCTCAACCGCTGCGCCACCAGGGGAGGCCCTAGACTATAAGCTCTTTAAGGGAGAGGATCACGTCTTGCTCTAGTAAAGATCTATTAAATGAGCAATGGAAAATATCCAGCCCTGATCCAGGTTGCTTATATCTGGTTCAGTCACTGATCAGCTGTGGGACCACAGAAAATTCACTTAACCCTCCTGTGACTTGTTTATCCCGCCCTGGGGATGAGAAGTCTGGATCACATGTTTGCTGGGGTCCCTGATGCCATGAAAATGGGTTTGGGGCTTAGCTGCAACATGGAACCTCAGCCCCATGCACTTGACAGACACACACGCCCTGGCTGGCAAGTCAGCTCTAATTTGCCTCCCTGGTCTGCAGTTTTCCAGCAACAGGCTGTGAATGACTTTGCACCAGTCTTTAAAGTAGCCTTTTTCCTCTCCCTGGCTGAGGGAGGATGCCCTATCAGCCAAGCTAGAGCTCTGGAACCTGGGGACACCAAGGCACATGGGGGCACTCTGGCAAGGGTCCTGCCATCCCTGGGCCAGACCTCCCCCAGACACCTTGCTGCCTGCTTCAAGCCTCACCACATACTGCTCATGGGAAAACTGAGGTACAGAGGGAAGCAGAAGTTGGCCTTTGACAGTGAGATGGTCACATGACACCTCTCCCCAAAAAGTTGTTGTTTGTTTGTTTGTTTTTCTGACAATGTTTTGTCCAGCCTGAAGGTCCAGAGGGTTTGACTCAAAGAAAACATATGCTATGTTATGACATGGGGCTCATTCAACAGCCCTGCTCCAAACAAAAGTTGTGCAATGAACAAGGCCCAAATTCAAGGCTTTAGAAATGTGTTCAGATGCTATCAGAATCTGGCTGATTGTCTTGGCTTCATATGGGTGCCCTTCCTAATTAACCTGACCTTTGCTAATTAACCTGAAAGACAATTCTTTTCCTCACCTCTGTCTGAGCGATAAAGGCATCCTGCCTCTATGAGGGTCTTAAAATCCAAATGAAAAACTACTTGAGATGAAAAGAAAATGTACTAAAAAGGGAAACTAAATTGGCCAATTTCCCCTTTTGAGCCTTTTTATAAACTAATTTATCCAATTCTCACAAGTCCGTGCCTTTGGTATTATGAGTAGCCCATTTTACAGATGAAGAAGCGAGGTTTCCAAAAGTTACATGACTTGCCCAAGGTCACAAAGCTAGGGGTTGGGGGAGGAGGGGTGGGGGGGTAGTTGAAGGAGCGGGGGTGGGGGGGGTGGCGAGCAGTCTCTCAGGCTTCTGCGGGACCGTCCTATGGACAGACCTGTTTATCTCCAGAAGCTGCCACTTGGACTCCCGGTCTTGCAGATAAACTCAGGCAGTGGCCATGAGACCCCACCTGGAAGTGAAATGGGGACAACGCTGGGCCATGCAGAGGGCTGAAACCTGGCTGCAAGTAGAGTTCTTCAACTCTCCTCCAAACTGCCTTTCACAGATCACAGCAGACGCTTCTGGGTGGTGTTTGGTTTGATTCAGAAGCCTTCCAGACAGTCAACTAAAAGCTACAACATTCTCACTTTTAAACACTTGTCTGTCTCGAATGGAGGCCCCTGCTGACTTCACAGCCCCTCTTGCAACCTGACGCCCCCCCCCCCCACCGCCTCCAGCTGCTCCCACTGGAAAGCAGCTCACAGCCAGGGCTCCATCTCTGGAGAGGTGCTCTGAAAGGCGTGGGCGCAAGCAAAAATAAAACAGTGCTTCAGAATTCACCCGAAGATCAAAAAGGCAGAATTGAGACAGTGCCCACTCCATCACCTTCCATTGCACCGCAAAAGCAACTTGTGGCTGTTTAAGGCATACTTGCAACTAGGAAAAAACTCCACATTCATACTTTAGATGAAAATTTCTTGCTGCTTTTGACAGATTCTAAGTCACCAAGCACTGTTTGGGCAAGAGCAATTTGCTGAGCAATTGTATTTGTGTTTTATTTTCTGTCCAGCCCGGCAGAGGGAATTTTCCACCTGACAATTCCTGTTTTTCACTTAAGTTCTTAACCCATCTGGGAGCGGCGTGCTCAGCAGGGGGAGGATGCAGGCCAAGGATGGCTGCTCTTCACCAAACCTCAGTTTTCCTGTCTGAAGGTTTTCCACCAGATGATTTTGCTAACATTCTAAGCTTATTTATCAAGTAGCAAGCAGTCCGGGGTTGCCAATTCCTGGGCCAGGATCTGCCACCAGATTTAAATCTTTACATAATTTTTGAGTAAAACAAGAGATTTAACTGAAATTAATAGCGCAATGGGAAACTGAACTGGGGTGGGTCGTAACAGCGCCAGGACTCAAGTCCTGAGCTAAGAGAAGAGCCTCTGCTGTTCTCAGCGCGCCCCTTAGTGGCCGTTCGACTCAATCCCGACGGAATGTTGAGCGTTTCTGCAAATAAAGGGAAAGACAGACCGCCAAGAGAAAGGCAGGCTCCAGGCTCCTGATGCAATCCCTTTCACCCTCACCTAATCTCCACGGAGAGGTGACAGACAGCCAGACCGATGGCTAACAGGATGCCCCAGTGCAGCTCCCTAAGGTGTCTGCCATAAGATAAAGTTTCATTCTTTCAAACAGTTGGCCGCAGCTCCCCAGTATTTGGGTGTCTGAAGCCCCTTACAGATCCCAGACACACCCTTACCACTCAACCCTTCGCAGGCTCACATCCTCAACCTGCAGCTCCAACCACGTCTGTTTTTCATTATTCTGCTTCCCCACTTCCCAGCGCGATTCTTCAACAGCTACTAAGACAACACGAGCGAGGGGCTAAGCTTAGTTTTTGCTTATTCAACATCCAGCCTGGGGAATATCACCTCGGACAGAAAGCATGAATGGAGCGCACGCTTCTCAGCCTCTTCTTGCACCAACCTGAACGTGTGTTTTGCAAGGGGTGTCTTTGCAACCATTTCCTCTTTGGATTTTTCAGCCTACAAAAATAGCATTTGCCCAGAGTATATTCTTAACTGCTTGCTTACCTACTGTTGCATTTGTTTATTACAGAGACAGCTTGTAACTACAAAGTACAATGTCCCAATGTCCTCTTAACCCCAACAGCATTTTTTTTTTATCTACAGGGGTAAAAAAAGCTGTATCTGCCCAAACAGTGAGACTTAGAAATAAGGGAATTATCTAGACAGCCTTATAGTCGGGAATTTAGGGGGTGAGCTTACTGATTGATGCCCCATTTTTTTCCCACAGAACTGTCCCTGCACAGACACAAGAGAAAAAATATCAACATCAATGTAACACTTCATGCCATTGTTCATTTTGCCTTTCCCTGTGGTCATTTGCTAAAGTTTACAAGCAACCCTGAGCCCCGAAACACCCCCCAAGAGTGCACACACAAGGAATCCCATAATGAGTTCCTGACTTTGGCCATCATCTATTAAAAATGCATCGGATATGCTTCAAATCAAAGAACATGTGAAGCTTCTGCCACACACCATACACAATCTTTCTGCAACAGTCACTTTGGACCCGACCCTCTGGCCATGAGCAGTGTGGACTTCAAGGGCGTGTTCGGCAGAAAGGAAAATGACAAGGAAGCAAGCTTGGGACCAGGCACCAAGGAGCTTCTTGGGCTGTGCTGTTGGTACCCGGACCCCGGCAGGGTTTCAGCTGTCACCAGCAGGGCTGCCGGGCCAGACCCCTTAGGCAGTGGAGCAGTCCTGCAGACTGAACTGAAATGCAACTGAGTCAGCTGCAACTCAGCCCCCTGTGTGGCGAGCAGCGCCTGGGGCATTTCAGAGCTCTCAGAAGCCAGCCCCAAGCTGTCACATCCCTCCGGTGTGCCTTCTCTCCAAAAAACAGACAGGAGTCCCCCTGGGGTGCAGTGACAGCAACCTGGGGAGGATGCAGAAGGAGAGTGGGGGTGGGGGGGAGAATCGAGTCACCTCCAGGACACAGGACTTGGGAGACCTGCTCAAAGTTGAGGGTGTACGTCCGTTTGGAGCTGGAGAACCCAGGATATGGGGTGACTGCCTGCCGGAGAGGGAGACCCTGGCGGTCCCAACGCTGCAAAGTGTTTGCAAATCATAAACACTACTTTGCTGCTGGGATAAAAACCCCCAAAATATGCGCAGACAGGATGTAACAAGTGTTTCAGAGGAGAGACACGCCTGAGTCACGGGGTGCTGGGGGGGGGAGTGAGGAGTCTGTCTAGGGGCTCTTGGCAAGCCCCTCGCCCACAAGAGCGTCCCAGCGCGCCCAGGCGCCAGCCCCGGGGCGCTCGGTCCCCGGCCACAGGCGGCGCGCGCCCCCGGGGGCTTCCCCACTCACCACTCGGCCCGAAAACCTCTCGGTGGCCCTCTTGACTTTGCCGTAGGTGCCCTTCCCCAGGGTCTCCTGCAGCTCGTAGCGGTGCTTCAAGTTGTGCTTGTGGTGATGCCGCTTCACCCCGTGCGGCTTCCTCGGCTCCGGCGCGGCCGCCTCGGGGGCTGCGGTCGCCCCCACCACCGCCTCCGGGGGCGCGCCCGGCGCCCCCAGCCCCAGGTCGCGGGCGTCCCCCGCCGCGGGCGCAGCGGCCCCCTCCATGTCCGGACGCGGCGCGAGCTGGGCTGGGGCGCGCAGGAGCCGGCGCGGCGCTCGGGGCGTCTGGGTCCCCGCCGAGGGCAGCCGGGGGCGCTCAGGGTCGCCCCCGCAGCATCGGGGAGGCGGCCCGCTCCGGCCGGGCTGCGGCTGGTCGCTGGCGGCGCCGGGGACTGCACCTCTGCGCCCCGGGCGCACGGTCCGCGCACCGCCCCCCGGCCGCGGCGAGCTGCGGAGCGTCGGGCGCGGCGCGGCGGTGGCCAGGGAGGCGGCGGAGCTCGCAGGAGGGAGGGCAGAGGGGTGGCTCCCGGCGCAGGAGGGGGAGTGTTATGTGGGGCGCCGCGCCCCCCGACCCCTCCCCCGGAGGCCGCGCCGGCCGGGCGGGGGGGGCGCGCTCCCCGGCCGCGCGGAGGGGGCGCGGAGGCGGGGTCCCGCGCGCCCCCTCCCCGCCGCCCCCGGCCCCCCGGGCCCCGAGCGGGAGGGGGATGGGTGCTGCCCGCTCGCCTTTGTGCCGCGCCGGGTAGGCCGCGCCGGCGGCCGCGGGGCTTTGTCCTCGCGCGGCCGGGACGCAGGCCGGGGGGCTCCCGGCCCGGCGCCCCCTCCCCGGCCCGCCCGGCTACCGCGAGTCCCCCGCGGCCGCCGCGTCCCGCCCCGGCCGCCCGGCCTCTCCCCCCGCGGGCGCCCGGGCGGCGGCGCGCCGAGCCCCGGGGCCGGGGAAGCGCGCGCGCTCCGAGCCGGAGGCCTCCCGGGTCCGCTCGCGCTTCGGCTGGGGGCGCCCCGGGTCCGGGCGCCCCTTCATTTTATTTTGGGTGTCGCCGCGGCCGCCAGGCCCGAGATGGGGGGGCAGCGGGGGGAGGGGAGGCGCGAGGGTTGGGTTACAGGCGGTGAGTCACGGCCCCCTCCGCCCGCCCGGGCTGGCATCCCCGGCCTCCGGCTCCCGCTGGGGACGGGCCGCCGCCCGGGCCGCGGCGCACCCCGAAGAGCCCCAAGCGGGGAGCGGGGACCCCGGCCCGGCCCTTCCTTAAGGAGGCGGAGTCGCAGCGGAAGGCAGACGTGGAGGCTGAATTTGGGGTCCCTGCTTGACCGCGGGGCCTGAGCCACCCTCCAGGACCCCGGGCAGCCGCTTGGGAAGGAGGGAGAGAGTTGGGGCCATGGGGGAGTAGGGGCGCTAGAGACTCCAGGACAGAGCTGGGCGCCCGTCCAGACGCAAAGGCAACCTTTGGAGGTGGGGAAAGCAGAGACGCCAGATGGAGCCGGGCCCAGGGCCTGCTGAGCAGGAGACACTGGCAGGTCTCCTGGCCCTTTGGGCCTTGAGAGTCGCCTTTAACTGAAAGAATCAGGTCCTGGACATGGTAATGGGGGCTGCACCCCACAAGCTGAGGGTCAGGCAGGGAGGGCCTCCAACCATGGGAGGCTACCCTTGTCCTCAGAAGTAGCAAGAAAAATTAAGGGAGAAACCAAGAGAAAAAGAGGAGTGTGTGTGTGTGTGTGTGTGTGTGTGTGTCGTATCTGGGATAAGAAGAGTGTGGTATGAAGTATACCGGTATCTTCTGCACATTGCTGTGTAGTTCTTTGCTTTTCCACCACTGAGCATGCCCAAACCTCCCTCTGTAGCTCCCAGGTTCATCCCTCCTGCATTTCTATCCCTTATCACCTTAACCTGGACTCCTGCAAACAGCCTGCCCTCCACCTGAGCCCCCTCCTGCTCCAGAGTAAGGCCTAAAAGCAGTCACCATATTCACCTTCCCTCCGGTTTGGTCCAACTTCACCTCCCCAGATGCTTGACATGAACCCCACTGTCCTGTCCCAGCTTCCCCAGGAGCACACTGGTTATTGCATAATACAAAGACAAAGGCCATGTTTATTCTATTCCTTTCCTGCCCTCCACACTTGCAGGGCCTCCCTGCCCCCACCCTGAAACTCATTCTGCATTATACAAAATCTGTAAACCCAATGCAGGCAGATTGAAGCCAGTGTAAATAAAACAGGGTGAGTCTGCCCACCCTTCCCCCCAAGCTGTGTGAACTTGGTCAACTGACTTAGCCTCTCAGAGTTTCCTCTTCTTAAAATAATGGACTTGCAGGTAAACAGATTAGGCCTGTAGTGGTAATTAAAGCTCTTCACCAGGTATTTTCTGGTTCTTTCCCTAATTTGTTATAATAGAAATCCACTACCCCATCCTCTTGAAATCAGAGGTGGTCATATGACTTGCTTGGACCAATAGAATGAAAGAAGTGAAATGCTTCACTCTTCAAGTAGAAACTCAAGAGCCCAGGGCAAATCCTGGTGTCTCGACAATTCTGAAAACACAAGTCGGCAATCCTATCTTAATCACCATGAAATTACAGACACAGAGCCTCCCCCAGTCAGCCTGGCTCTGTAAAGATAGCAGAACAGTCAGCTCACATGTAATGCAAAAGTAGCATAAGCAAATATTAAATTGGTATGTGTTAAACTGGTGAGAATAGGGGGAAGGGAGGGCTGTTTGTTACAACAGCATAATATAGTTTATTCTGGCTCCTGGTGCTGTTCCCAGGTGTCTGGGTCTTAATTGATATTTGTTGAGGGAATAACACCTACCCTCCAGTGCTACTATTCGGTGACAGTAAACCCTTCCCTATAAGGGAGTAGTTCTAATCCTTATTTTCAATTGAGGAAGCCATATCAGAAAGGTTAAGTAATTTGCCTGAGATTACATAGGTGGTAATTATCAGCATGAGGATTTAAACCCTACCTGTCCAGTTCCTCTTCTACCTAAGCCATGCTAGCTCTCCTTAAATGGAAAGGATAGAAAACACCCGGGACAATGCCTGGCTCACAGCGGGCCCGGGCCTTGGGAGTTCCTCTCCAGACTGAATTCCTAGAGCATTCATAATTTGAACCACACTTCACAATGTTATCATGCATTGTGTTCCAGTGTTTTCACACAGATAAAGCATTTCCGCCAACAAGATCCCAGGCTCCTTGATTAGGAGTTTGAGTTCTAGAGTCCCACTGCCTGGGTTCAAATCCCTATTCCACCACGAGTGATTGAGCATTCTTTTCCCTCTGTGTACCTCAGTTCTCTCATGCATAACAGCAATAGCAATAATATCATATTGGTGTTGGTAACACTATGTCCCAAGGGGGCCATAATTTAAACACTCAATAAATCATGACTTCCAATATTCTATGAATGTTCCCTATTCCGTGGCTCCATGGATTTCAGGACATGACAAGCAGTTTGATGGGACTCTGATGTGGGGCTTTGTTCAGGATACGGGACGCACGTGAGAACATCTGCATTCATCCGCGCTATCCTACAACTTATATCTGCAGAAGGCTCATTAGTTGTTCATTATTCCACTTTTAATCTCCTAAGCAACTTAAATTAGGCATACTTGCTTTCCTGAGAAATCTTTGTTCTAATAACACCAGTCATCATTAATCTACTATCTGTCAGCCAGGACTTGTAAATATGTTACTTCTAACCATGCTAAAATTGCAGGGAGAGGTTTTGATCCCCAAATAGCTGTTCAGAACACTGATTCTCAGTGTAGTGGCCTATAAGACAGTAACTGCCCGAGGCAGAATTTGCACCCAAGTCCCACTCTCAGGCTTTGCTCTAACTCTTTCCATCTGCCTGACATCCCTGCCACATCCACAGTGTCCAGGCTGTGCTTGACAACAGCCTCCCATTTTCTAGATATGCTTTGGAAGTTATCCAAGATGGTGGCATTTCTAACAAAAGTGCATCGTCTGGTCCACAGCGTGCATTAAAGAGCAGCCTAAGGTGGTGCTTCATCTCCATGGTGGTGGAAGTTGGCCAGCTGCCCACCCAAAATTCATGCTCCTCCCTCCGCACGGAAGCTGGCCCATGGCTGTTCAGCTGGGATTTATTTCCCAGCCTCCCTTGCACCCAGGTGCTCTCATGTGACTGGTTTTCTCTAATGGAATATGAGCAAAAGTGATGTTGTTTACCTCCAGGTCAGGGTTTTTTAAAAATGTGCCTGGGGATGGACTGTGGGTGCTCTCATGGTAGGTATGGTATAGTAACAAAAGCTGGGTGAATCCTACACATCTAAAACACAAATAATGATGTCAACCAGTGTTAACGCAATAAAGAAAAAGAAAATTTTCAAAATGAAAAAAATGGGTGAGGCATCCCCACTGTGCCTCATTGGAAGCAGAAGAATCCAGGACCCCAGAAGATGGTGGGACCACTAGGTAAAAGAAGCCTTGACTGGCCTGTGGAATGAAGCCACCCTCTGACCAGGACATTTGACAGATGCCCAAGTGAGAAATAAATTACTGTGTTGAGGCGCTGAATTGGAGGGTTTGTTCGGAACAGCAGCCAGCGCTGCCCTAATACAGAGTGTACAGTCCGTATTTTCACATAGAAAACAAGAGACCAATTACACACCATTTGAATAATTAGCACCAAAAATGCCACCTTTATATTCTCAGTCCACTTGCTTATTTAAAGAGGAGGCAGATTATTTGGGGCCAGAGTTTTCCTTTCATTTTTCCTGGGTTACATGTACCAGAGATCAGAGAGGAATGTTGAACAGATGTGACAGTCAGAAACAAATCTACTCACTCAGCAATGTTTCCTATTTTCCCATACACGCCATTGGGGCTGAGGATGCCCTGGGCCACGGATCCCTCTCCAAGAAACTTCCAGTCTGTGCATAGTAAGCATGACTTCAAGTGACCTCCAGTCACCAAACTTCCAGGGAGAACCCAGGCCACTCGAAAGGAAAACAGATCACTAAAATCTACTCACACATCACAACGGGAAGCTCTGTTTCCTTGTTCTACTATAAGAAACAGTAGGAATGGTGGTTAAGAGAATAGATTCCAGAATCAAAACTGATCCAGTTCAAAGTCTGGCTGGACCACTTTTAGAGTGTGGTGTTGCAGACTGCCCTTGGCTTCTCAGTTACCCCATCTTTAAAACGGGGATATTAATAAAGAGGCTGCTCTTTAGTGCACGGTGTCTACCTGACCATGCACTTTAGTTAGAAATGCCACCATCTTGGGTTACTTTCCAAAGTATATAGAAAACAGGAGGCT